GATCCAGGACTAGCATAGTTGACAGAGACAACCAACCGTCGGTGTGATGAACACCTATAGGGAAGGCGCTCACTCATCATCTAGATGAAAACAGTAGAGGAAAACCACGACTACACGCGTATACTCAGCGTGACTGTCACTTGAAGTGACAAACTTTACTAATATACCTGCTACAGGGGCACGTGGATATCAGAATTTCCATGAATCCATGGAGATATGAATCCGAGAGCCTCTCGGCGAGAGGTTAGGGAGTCAATAATGCCCCCGGTGCCTTTACACTGTAACAAGTTTGATCGTGCTCCAATCTCGGCTTCAGGATGCTTGATGAATCTATGTCCTCTAACTCCAGCCAAAGCCAGCTCGCGAGAAGAGGCTTCGTACCTGTGCTCATGCTCCTCGTTGTGGTCTGTGGTACGTTCAATGCCATCACTGGCAAGATCCGGGCGGTTGCTCTCGGAGAGTACTCTGGAATGTTATCCAACTTGGGATTCCAGGTCGTGTACTTCCTCATCTACGCCCTTGTACTAGCTATCAACGCCTGGTCCCGTCGTGTTCCCCAAGAGCAGTGGCATTGGATTCTTATCCCTAGGGAAAGTGCTGGTTTTGACGGCTTCATTAAAGGCACATGTGATTTCATGAAACGCTTGCCAGGCATGAAATTCGCAGCATTGGCGGGTATCCTTGAAGCCACTGCCAACTATCTCATCTTCTCCACACAGGGATATCTATCGGTCAGTATGTACAAGCTCCTGCAGCAGTTTACCGTGCCTTCAACCCTCCTTTGGTCTGTGATTTTTCTGCGTGCGCGTTATATTTTCCAGGAATTGCTCGCTGTTGTACTTGTGGTTCTCATAGCAGTCGTCGCAATCGTTGTTCCAAATGATGAGGAGAAGAGTACCTCGAGCAATGGTGGAGTGTCTGCTTCCGTGTTGCTTGGGTTAGCGATGATCATGCTGTCCTGTTCATTCGTCATCAAGGAGCTTATGTTCCTTGAGTATAAGACCTATGCTAAACTAAAGAACTATGAAGTCACTGACTTGAACATTTTCCTTATGTGCACATCTACTAACTTTGTCGGTGTGATATTCGTGATACCAATCTCTTTTTGTCTCGAGATAGCCACTGGCCAAGATGATGTCGGAGGAATCGTCAGCAGAGGTCTCTCATTTCTGCTTGCTGATTCGATCGCTATGGTCAGTTTTACAGTATCCGTGATCGTCTCTACCTTCTTCAATATAAGCCTCTTTTATCTCATTGCTTACGCGTCGAGCGCGCTGGCATTTCTTTGCGTAACCATTACCCTTCCTGCAGCAGTGATTCTATCCCTAGTCGATTGGCCTTTAATCGGTTCTTCGTCTGTACCGTGGATCCAGTGGCTGGCTTTGCTCTTCATGTTGGTGGGGATCATCACTTTCAGGCATGGTAATAGAGTCCACGCTTCACTAGAGGCTCAGCAGGGTGGTTGCCGTCGCGGCCAAATTTGTTGCTGGCCTCTACGTTGGCTATCACATCACTGAACTATATTTCGCATTGCCTGGAACACTTCTTCCAATTTTATACTTCGCAAGGCCTTTCCAGTAACCTTGTATGATCGAATCGAAGTGACTTATATTCGTGAACTTTGCCGACTGTATTAGCCAGACTAATGCAGTCGGTAATAGGGGACTATTTCAGTCCGCGACATTCTCTCCGTTCCCGATGGCAGAAGTCTCGAAACCATTAAAATGTTGCGTTTCAATGGAACACCCACTACACTCGACCCACTCTAGAATAGTTTCATACTGGGTCGAGCAGTACTAGTCGCAGTATAAGTAATGCGTTATTTTCATCACCTGTAAGACTGTTCTACGGTAGAACTTCTACCCCAACCTTGATAGTTCCAAGGCTATCGAAGAGTTTTACTGTTCCGTCATGTAGCGGACAGGGGGATGCTGGTCGCATTTACAACTCTGACTCTAGAAAATATCCAGTTCAACTCTACATCTCTATTCATCCATGACAGAGTTAGTCGACTAGGTGGTGTGGAAATGAACGAAAAATTGCAGGGCCCCCCCTTGAAGTCTTGGTCTCGGTAACTAGTGCCGTACCAGCCGCCCATCCCTCACACGGATCTGTCCCGTCGCCCAGTCCACTAGAAAAATGGTCAGTTACCATGAACTTTCTCTTAGAATGCTTGGACTACTGGAACACCCTCGACTCGAGGGCCTCGAGCGACTAAGCTCGCCGATTCGAATCACTCGTGCTAGAGTTAACCCTAGCCTCCTGCGAGACTTCCCAAGTACTGTGGTATCAACTTGCTAAAATGCATCGGTAAAGCTATTACGCTAAAGTGAGGAGAGCCCACGGGGCTCTTCAGTGAGCCGAATAACGGATGGGACATCAATTGCATATGTCGTTGAGTTTCCGACTATTTGACAGTGTGTCACTACTTATACTACTGATAGTGTGTTATGATCAGCCAATTGATAGCTGTGAGTAGGGGAACCCCATTACCAAGTGAACGAACGGCTCAGTATTCATCTGTACATGCTGTAGAGCGACGTGAATCATGGTGGATACTACTCAGTGGCGCTTCACGATGATTGGCAATAGGAGAGTAAACTCGACCGATGTTATAATTCCATCAAAATAGTGGTCTATCGGCCGCAAAAGCCGACCTACTATTGGTATGCTCACATCGTCACGCATGGCCGGCATTGATCGCTACCGCGCACACAAGCATTGACAACAGAACTCACACGACTTGGGCTAATGAAGCTGTCCTTACTGCTGCCCAATAGTAGTAGAGGCAATGAATTTAGCATGCTTCCTTTGAAGAGTCATCAGTCTATCACTCCTTCCTATCTCCTTGGAGAGTAGAGTACGGACAACGGAAGACTTCATAGAGGAGCAGTTACTCTGAACAAATGACAAA